GTAGAAGAGGGCATTCAGTTGTGCTGAATACATGTATTCCATGGAGGGAAAAAGGATTAAGCCTGAGCTTGGCCCAAAGGCTAGCTCGCGAATGCAAAGGTAAGATAACTGTCAGACATCAGATAGTCGCATAAACAAAGTATCACACCGCCCTCTCCCCTTTTCAGCGAGGTCTTCGGAGCTCCTCTTGATACACCACCCGCGCCAGCCGTAACAGCATGTCCAGTGCCGCAAATAAACGCCCACGAGACGACCACGCCTGCCACCAGCTACTGTGAGATTGAAGTATTTCACCCGGTCCTCTAAGCTGCTTTAATAGGACCTGGAGTTACGTTCGGTCTGAGGGCAAGAATCGTAGAGAGGATATCCTGTCGGCCATCAATCGTGCCCGTGAATAGACGTTAACGCACCGGTTCCGTGTGTGATGGAGTTGGGAGTAGTGCCGATCCCAAGGAGAATTCCGATACGATGCGTTTCCGGATTGTTCACGGTGGCGTTGCAGCCGAACACAGACGCCATAGTCAATTTTTCTGTTGCGGAGAATTTAGAGAGTCTTCCAAGCGACGTACATGTAATTTCTTAACACAAAGGATATAAGTTACAAACAATGAGTACTAGGACAAAACCCCTAAAGATAGTTGGATCTGTTTTCTGCTGCCACCAGTGTAGTGCCCCGAGATTACTCTTAGGTAAAAGAAGAATTTAATACAAGTATTTTAGGAGAAGGAGGAGATGAGCTTTCACTTTGACCGAAGGTCACCTACATGCATCAGCGAAGGACAAGTACCGAAGAAGCCGCCGGGCGCACAGGTAGCCACATAAAGAATGCTTTATTAGCATAGCCTTTTATTTGGTTATGTTTTGTAGAGCGGCAAGGAGCCCTTGGAGGTAAATATAGTGCATGGGTAGACTACACATAATCAGGCAAAATGGAAGGGATCCGAGCTCTATATACCTGAGAGACCAACGTATCCGACAAATGCAATTGGGGTCACTCTAGTGGCCGCCGCTTATCATGACAGATTAAAAACAAAGTATTTGGTGAATCTCCAGCTTAAATGGAATAGAGGCTGTATTCACAACTTAGAGATTTTACACGCCTCCTTACTTAATTTAAATTTCCTAGTGCATTTCGATTTCAAAAAATGGTCTTGGATGGCTGTTCTTTACTAAATAATATGTGCGCCAAATTAAGCATTCGTTTCTTAATCTTTATATCCACCATTCCCTTCGCTTCCGATAAGTTACGGCATGAATACTTTTACGTTAATGTAGTTGTTTGTGGCTAGAGTATTTGTGCATAATTTACAGACAGTAGTTATAATACTATCCTATGAATGGTCATCATTGGTGTGTGCTAGAGTTCTCATATAGAGTGGCGCCTCCTCATTGCTCGGTTCCCACGGCACCTCTTATCGGGTACAAGCATTGTGTATTTTCGGAACATTCGGTTAAAACAATGAGATTTCAGAAGGTTAAACAAATGCTTGATTGAGTGTATAAATATGTAAGATTGGCGGTGCACCCCATGTCCATACACAGTTGTCACTAACAGCACCAAATTACGACATGCGACCACTCTCTGGTCTGGCCCTCCTTCTCGCATTCGCTACATATTGCGTGGAGCGATTTGAGGGAGGTTTACTCGAGGTGCCTAACTTCCCGAGCAATGAGGACAAGGCTGAAGCAAGGGAAGTTGACGAGAAGAAGGGCGAGGGAGAGGAGGAGGAGGAGGAGGAGGAGTTAAGCAAGGAAGCCCATGAAGTTGATAGACAGAGGACTTTGCTCTTGACAGCTGGATGGAGTCGACTACGCCTCAGAAAACCTCGGAAGTATCCTATCCCCATATGTCCACATGGTGATAGAAGTCCAGGTCCAATGACTTTTTAATCGTCTGCAAATAGGTTGATATTGCAGCTGTATGATTGATCAGTTGTGTACTGTTATAAATTATGCCAATTACATAAAGCTACTTGCCTAATTTTTATTTTGTGGGCTACACGCTAAACTTAGTTTATGTAAGTGCATGGATTGGCAC